CTTGCCAATGGTGTAGTGACCGCGGGCGAAGTGTTAGCAGCGTCTCTTACCAGAGATGAGTGCTCAGGATGAAGAGTTGCCTGTAGGTGCCGGTACGAACTCATCAATAACAGTGGGCTCGAGATCAACGAAGACGCATCGGGGGACATGCTTGCCGGCACCAGTCTCCGAGAAGAAGGTGTTGAAGGCGTCATCACCACCACCGATAGTCTTATCAGAAGGCATTTGTCCATCAGGCTGAATGCCGTGCTCGAGGCAGAAGAGCTCCCAACAGGCATTACCAACCTGAAGACCACCCTGACCGACGTGGATGCAGATAGCTTCACGCATATTGGAGGACTAGGGAAAGCGCTGGAGTAGCGACAAAAGGATTCTGAAAGAAGCAGTGTAGAATTACTTGAGCTCGAACATCCACCCCAGAGTCATCACCACTAATACAGCCTCAAGAGCCAGAAACCTAGTTAAAAACTACCTGGTGTATGGTCGGATACTACTGATGCTTAATGACTTCAGATGAGACTCATGCTGTTTGCCTCTTCTTATGCAGCAAGCTCACTCAATGCCAACATTCCAGCGACCGAAACGGTTCCCATTTTGGGGCGAGCGAGCGCAATTATGGGCGTTATAATAGATGGCGAGCGAGATTTATCATGCGCTTTCGATACTGCGCACGCCCGCACGTTGGGCCAACCGACCTGACGTTGCAAACTAAAGCCGTTGTTGAATACCTTCCCTAGTTGCAGAATGCAAAACCTACTAAGGCGAGTCTCGCTCCGCTCCTCACGACACTTCTGCTCATCCACCGGCATCACTGAACCTCTGAGTAAAACCTTATCAGAGGGTGGAGCACGCGGAGGCATGAAGGCGGCCTTGAGGCCTTGGGTGAAAGCTGGATGGGAAAAACCCGTCGGTAGTTTCCAAGACCCCAGCCGAGGTATCAACATAAGATTTCTGCTCAATCGTCAGGATATTGGCTCCTTGGGACTTCGGGCCTCTTAGCTGGCATGGTGCTGCTCGGAGGATATACCAGACTATCTGGTGCTGGCCTCTCGATGACCAACTGGAAATTCCAAGTAGCCTGCGCATAGCTTCGTCTATTGAGCCCTCGTTAGGGATCGCTCCCGCCTAATACTCCCGAGGCTTGGGAGCATGAATTCCTTCGCTACCAAGAATTTCCTGAGTACCAGCGAATCCACAAGGTGATGTCATATCGCAGCCTCTTCGACAGTAGGACCTGCGATTCTTCAGAACACAATGACAGTTGATGAGTTCAAAGAGATATACCTTATCGAGTGTTCCATAGATGCTTGGAAGAGGTACGCTAACAGCTTGATCAAGGTCCAACAGACCGCTGCAGGTATCGGGA